GAAGCCATCTGGTCCTGAGTTTTTTCTTAGTTGGGAGACTTTCTATTACTGATTCAATCTCATTACTCGTTATCTTTCTGTTGAAGTTTTCTATTTCTTCCTGGTTCAATCTTGGTAGGTACGTACCCAAGAATTTATCTATTTCCTCTAGGTTTTTCAATTTGTTAATATATAGTTGTTCATAATAGTCTCTAATGATCCTTTGTATTTTTGTGTTATTAATTGTAATGTCTCCTTATTCATTTCTTATTTAATTTGGATCTTTTCTCTTTTTTCCTTGGTCTAGCTAACCATTTTTCAATTTTGTTTATCTTTTCAAAAAACCAACTTTTTGTTTCATTGATCTTTTGTAATTTTGGTAGTCTCTATTGCATTTATTTCTACTCTGATCTTTATCATTTCTTTCCTTACTAATTTTGGGTTGGTTTATTCTTGTTTTTCTAGTTCCTTGAGGTGCATAATTAGGCTGTTTATTTGAAATCTTTCTACTTTTTTAATGTAGGCATTTATTGCTATAAACCTTACTCTTAGTACTTCTTTTACTGTATCCCATAGGTTTTGGTATGTTGTGTTTCTATTTTCATTTGTTTCAAGAAATTTTTAAATTTCTTTCTTAGTTTCTTCCTTGACCCATTGGGCATTAAAAAAATTTTTTTTTAGAGACAAGGTTTTGCTATGTTCCCCACGCTGGATTCGAACTCCTGGTCTCGATTCGATTCTCCCACCTGAGTCTCCCAAATAGCTGGGACTACAGGTGTGTGCCAGCTTGCCTGGCTATTTAATTTTGATGTATTTGTTCAGTTTCCAAAGTTCTTCTGGTTATTGATTTCTAGTTTTGTTTCACTGTGGTCATAAAAGATACTTGATATTATTTTGATTTTTAAAAATATGTTGAGACACGTTTTGTGGCCTCGCATATCCTGGAGAATGTTACATGTGCTGTATTCTGCAGCTGTTGGATGAAATGTTCTATAAATGTCTCTGACGTCCATTTGGTCTATAGTGCAGTTTAATCTGATGTTTCTTTGTTGATTTTCTCTTTAAATGATCTGTACAATGCTGAGAGTGGGGTGCTGAAGTTCCTAACTATTATTATATTGGTGTTTATCTCTCCCTTTAGATCTAATAATATTTGCTTTATTTATCTGGTACTCTGGTGTTGGGTACACAAATGATTGTTATATCTTCTTGCTGAATTGACCCCTTTATCATTAAATAATGACCTTTCTTTGCTTTTCTGCAGCCTTTGCTTAAATTCTATTTTCTCTGATGTAAGTACAGCTACTCCTCTTCACTTTGGGTTTCCATTTGCATACAATATCTTTTTCCATCCCTTCACTTTCAGTCTATGTGTGTCTTTTCAGGGCAGGTGAGTTTCTTGCAGGCAGCAAATAGTTTGGTCTTGTTTTTGTACCCATTCAGCCAGTCCATATTTTTTATTTGGGTAATCTAATCAATTTACATTCAAGGTTGTTATGATAGGTGAGGACTTACTTCTGTTATTTTGTTAATTGTCTTCTGGTTGTTTTGTATATCTTTTGTTCCTTTCTTCCTCTCTTATTCTTATCTTTGTGGTTTTGTGGTTTTATGTAGTGATAAAGTTTAATTCCTTTCTATTTTTCCTTTGTGTATCTGCTTTACTATTGTATTTTATACTTTGATGTGTTTTCATGATGGTGGTTGTCATTCTATTGGTTACAAATGTAAGACTCCCTTAAGCATTTCTTGTAAGGCCAGTCTGGTAGTGACTAATTCCCTCATTTTTGCTTGTCTAGAAAAGACTTTATTTTTCCTTCATTTCTGAAGGGATAGTTTTATTGGGTATAATATTCTTGGATGACAGTTTTCTTCTTTCAGCTCTTTGAATATATCATCCCATTCTCTGCTGGCCTATAAGGTTTCTGGAGAGGTATCTGCTGTTAGTCTAATGTGACTAATTATATGTGACTTAATTTCTTTTGCTGTTTTTAAAAGTCTTTCTTTGACTTTTGACAGTTTGACTACATTATGCTTTGGAGAGGACCTTTTTGGGTTGAAACTATTTGGGAATCTTTGAGCTTCCTGGATCTGGATGTCTATATCTCTCTTAAGACTTGGGAAGTTTTTAGCTATTACTTTATTAAATAGTTTTTCTTTGCCTCTTCCCAACTATTTACCTTCTCAAAA